GAAAAAGACCCAAATCACCGGAACCCCCCGCCTCCTGCGCTCGCCAGCTGGGCTCCGCTCTAGGAAGGAGGCCATGGCAAACCACTCCCAAAACACCTTGCCATGAAAACTGCAGGGACTTGTCCAGGCAGTCGCCGCAGAATCGGCCACGATTGAGTGCGGATTAAAAAAAAAAATACTTTAAACGTTTTTCTCTGGTTTAAGAGCAAAATCCACTGAAGTGAATGGAAGTTTCCTAAATCACACATCATGCTAACCCACAATATAATTTGTGTGGTTTATGCTTTAGCATTATGTATGAACCTAGCCACTGTGGTTTGTAAATCATGGTTAGTGTATTGCATGAACCCAGCAATTATTAGCTTATTTGAGGAGTTGGGGGATCGTGCTGCCCTGGAGCCTCACGTTGCCTGCCTGGCTTTGCAGAATGAACCCATTCATGAGTTTGTCTTGGACTTTAGAATCAATCCAGTAAAGTTTTGTTTTCAGATGGGCTTTTTTTTTTCTTGTTATCTATAGTGCAGACAATAGTTGACATTTATACAGTGGAACAATTAAAGATGAAAGCTTTGCAAAATGATGGAAAACCAGAACCATTTTATGGCATTATTTTTGCCTACATTTCTACATTGAATATTGATAATGAAGCAAGTAAAATAATACGAAACAGATGGTAAGCACCTCATTAAGTTATCGTGAACAGGACATTTATTCTCTTCTCAATTTCAAATTAGCCTACAAAGCTGCTGAATTTGTACACTGAAATGGACTCTTTAGGCCCTGAAATCGAACCCCCTGCTCAGTGCAGCAAGCCTAATTAAAGCATCCCTGCCAGATGGTTACCCAGCTTCTGCTTTAATCTATTCAGTGAAGTCTACTATCTCCTTTGGTTATGGATTCAACTGTCAAACCGCTTTCCATTCATCAGTCTGCTTAATTTGGAAAAATAGTTGTAACACAGGAAAATCAATCTGAAAATCAGTTAGCTGTACACATATTAATTAATGTATGTTTCCTTTTTCTTTTTCTCTTTGTAGTGTCAAGTGCCACTATGTTGTCAATGAAAAGACAAATACGTGTTCTTTCTGTAGCAGCATTCACTCCTTCTTCGATGCAGACGCTGTGCCAGTGTTTGCCAGCTTTGATTTACCAGTTGATCTAACTGACCACACAGGCACGCTTCACTTTTGCAGTCTCTCAGACAGAATAGCTGAAGAAACTTTAGGTTACACGGTAAGAACGTCGGAAATAGTTTTCTACTTCTTGAGTTTATTCTTTGTTTTTTTATGCCAGCAAAATTCCTGTGGTCTCTTATCAATAATGTTTGGTCCAATTCAGATGATGGGAATTTATGGATACAAAAATGCTTATAAATCTTGATGCCAGTTGCAGCTTTTAATGAAACAGACTCCACCCTATTAAAAGCTATTCTGCCATAAATTTACTAAACTCCTATGATATCAAAAGGCATCACTAGTTTTGCTTCAGAGCTAATATATATTATGAGCACTCTACAGAAACCAATTGGACCTAAGTAATTTACTCCTGGGATAGCATTTATATTGAAGTGATAATTACACATAATTGTTTAATCATTTTGATTCATTTTAATGTACTTTCTTTCCAGAGAAATTGTGAAAAGTGGGCATTTACTGTTTATTTGCCCTCCAGAAAATTTAGCTTTCTGATTATTATGCCCCATTCCAGAGAGGAAATTATTGCTGAATTATGGTTTATTGCAGACCTATGTGTAATTTTAGCAAATTAAACTGTGATCACTCTACTAGGTCCAAGAATTTCAAGCTCTGACAGACATACAAAAGACAACATTAAAATGGCAACTTCTTCTAGAAAGAAGCAAAATTTATTTTAAAGTAAGTATAATAAATAAATAATAAAGTAAGTATAATAAAATATAAAAGTAAGAGCCAGTTTGGTGTAGTGGTGAAGGTGCTGGCCAAGAAACCAGGAGACGGTGAGTTCTAGTCCTCCCTTAGGCATGAAAGCCGCCTGGGTGACCTTGGGCCATTCACTCTCTCTCAGCCCAACCTACCTCACAGGGTTGTTGTTGTGGGAAATAGGAGGCAGGAATATTAAGTATGTTTGCTGCCTTGCCTATATATAAACAGGCAGGATAAAATAATAATACCGTAATACTGTCCTAAACCAAAGAGAACACCATTTCCCACAACCTGAGCCAGTCTACGAACAGCTGCTCAAAATCTATGATCAGTTTCTCCCACTGAATGAAAAACTGAGATCTGCAAGAAAAAGACATTTCTGTGGTGGCTACAATATTTTGGAACACATTATCCGGAAACTGGTCAAAAACCAAAGGCTTTTCTAAAAAAACAAAGTAGTTAGTACAGAATTTCTAGAAGCTAGTAAATTCATGTATATAACTGCTCAAATATTTTGTCAACATTCTGTAGCAGTTTAAAATCTAGGAGATACAAGTGGAACAGAGGATGCTTCCATGCTTCTCTATTAAGTACTAATTATAAAACAGTCTTCCATTTTATGAATTTTATTAGACATGACATTGCTGACACAAAAATTTATTTGGGGAGCATCAACTGAAGTTTTTCAGACCTGCAGAAAGTTCTCTTTACAGTATTCTAATTTAGCTGTGAACTCACCAGTGGAAAAAGATAAATGTTCAAGATTAAAAGAAAAAAGAGCTGGGGGGGGGGGGTTAATGGGAACACAGTTGCAAGAATTCCCTTCACCACTTCTCTCCTACTTGAAACTATATGTTTATATTTGTACAACATGCTTAACCAGATCCAGATGTATTTCCTCATGCTAATCTTGGTTAGTGTTAATCTGTTTAATTATTTTGAGGCTTTCCACCTTATGTGAAACAAGTGTCTTGGCTTATGGTTCAGTATATTGCATGTACCCAGAAAAATGGGCTAATTCATTCAGGTTCGATGCATTACAGGAACATAGCCATTACATAATTCAAGTTTTATATAGAGCTTTTTGTTGTAAAAAAAGGGGGAAACCTTTAAAAATTGTTCGTAAAAGCGCTGATTTGTAAATTTACTCCCATAGGTTATTCTTTCTACCACAGCACGAACGGGGCTGAGAGTAAAACTGCTTTCTTGCAAGCTAGCAGATCCAGTGGAGGCTTATCAAAACCTGCCTGGAAAAGGAAAATAACTATATTGTGCATCTGCAAAATAACTGGAAGGAATTCTCATTTTCTCATAGCATGGTGAAATGACATCTTTGTAGGGGGTGCACACTTAATGCAAAGGCCTGTAAGATACACTTTGTCCAGGTGGTAAGATTATATCTGATTTTGAAGAACAGTGGAGCTTGCTTCACTCTCCAAGATGTAGTTTTCCATTAAAATGTGTAAGGAATGTATGTTTTCAGTCTTCTTCACAAGCATGTTTAATTTCAGATTACCTCAGAAAGGACAGACATTCAGGACATTTTGTAGAGAGAGATGGTTCAGTATAATAGCTGAGAGTTTCAGCTGGGAGAGAAGCGCCATCTTCATGTGTTGCACAAACCATGAATTTATCAGGTGTAATGAAGGAGCGTCCCCTCTCTCAGCACTTCCCTCTCCCCCTTCAAGTCTGCAACAGGAGAAAAAGAATACCCGTGACCTCTGTTGCAAAAACGCTAACAATATTTGGTTTCACAGATAATAGGCAAGTAATATTATGAACTGTCTGGCATTTATTCACAGAAACAAAAAGACAAGTTTTGGCTTCATTGCAAAGTGTTTTTTAAATCTCAACATATAAATTATAATTTTTAAACAATACAGTTTGGCACAAAATTCCTTCATTATTTGGTTAACGTTTTTAAGGAAGGTAGGGTATGACCGTATGATACGCAGTGTTTTGCAGTTCTAAAAATATATAGGCTTGTTTATTTACAGTGACCGGCTGGCCTTTTCCAGACAAGCCAGAAATAGGAAGTCAACAACAACAGCTTCCAAACCGGGCCCTGTCCAAGGGAAGCAGCCCATAGATCTAATCTGCAAATCACAGCAGGGCAACCCAAAAGGACTGCTGTGCTGCGCCAACTAGGCAATATTGCTATATTCTGGCTTATCTTATGTGCAAATAAAGTCACTGTGTCTGGTACTCAGTAGGTTGGGATCTCCGTGGTCCACGCTCCGTCAGAGACGAGACATCCGAATAAGAAAAGGCAATCATTGTAGGTTCTTCTGAAAAGCCTGCTATTTTCCATCTCATGGGGGGGGGGGGAATCGGGTCTCCCGTATGAGCAATCGACCCTCTTTTTTCTTCCAGAGAAAAGGAGCTTCCCACACATCAGGGCCGGCTTTTCTGCCCTACCACCTGAAACTGCATTTGCAGCAGCCCCTCGATCCCAGCTTCAATTTCATCCTTCTCTTGCACAGCAGAAACTCCTTCCGGGGATCCCGTTAAGATGATGTCCCCTTCTTCCAGTGTGACAATTCCACTGATGTAGCTGATGATGTAGGGAATGGAGAAAATCATGCCGGACGTATGCCCTTCCTGCCGCAACTCTCCGTTTACCTTCAGCCAGATCTTCAGCTGATGCGGATCTGGGACTTTCTCCTTGGGTACAAAGTCACTCACTGGACAGGAGGTGCTGAATCCTTTGGCTAGCGTCCAAGGAAGCCCCTTCTTCTTGCACTCCTCCTGAGTATCCCTGGCGGTCATGTCCAGGCAGAGGGCATAGCCCGCCACGTGAGCCATTGCTGCTTCCTGAGGAACGGCCCGGGCGCTCTTCCCAATCACCACGCCCAGTTCCACCTCGTGGTGGAGCTTACTGCAGTAGTAGGGCTTGACGATGGGGCTGCCTTCCCTGACGTAGGCTGAGGAGGGCTTGAGGAAGAAGAGCGGCTCGGGGGGAAGCGCATTCTTCAGCTCCTTGGCGTGCGCTGCATAATTCCGCCCCACACAGAAGATATTCTTACCCCACTCCCAGAACTTGCCCATAGGCCTAGAAGAAGCCATGCTGCAATTACCAGCCCTTCAAAACAGGGAACTCCAGGTGAGATGGCTGCTGTTTAGCTTTGCCTCAAGAGCAACAACTTCTCCACACAGCAATCTGGATCCTTATTTCTGGCCTGGGGAAGAAAATGGAACCGTTGATAGCCCTTCACAGCACGGGTACATTTTTCCCCATACAGCTTGGTTTTTTGCCTGAAATTCTACGCACATCGTGTGTTTCTTGACTAGATTATATGGCTGCCAAATGAGAAAAGCTCAAAATGGCCTACATTAAAAATGCAACAAAAGCGATCAGAATGTTAAAGGTATAAAATGAAATGACGCTACGGGGACCGTTCATGCCTTGGTCACCTCCTGAGTGGACTACTGCAATGTGCTGCACATGGACCCGCCCTTGAAGAGCATCCAGAAGCTGCAGCTAGTTCAGAATGCAGCAGCCCAGGCACACCCACGCTACAGCTCTGCCCTGCAAGCTGCCCGGGCTGCTGTGATGTCCTGGCTTGGAAGGTGGCGCTTGTAACGTCCCGCGTGGGTGATTTGCAGGACCACCCTCCTCCATCCTCCCTTAGTCCGGCAGGAGAGGCGTGCTGTGGGCCCCGCTGGTGAAGGGGACAGCCTTTCGGGACCCAGGAAGTGCGTCTTTTCTGTTGCACGCCTGCTCTTTGGAGCACCAACCTCCCTGAGATTAAATCGGCCCTGAGCCTGGTGGCTTTGCAAAGAGCCCTGAAGACTTGGGTGTCTTCCTGGGCGCGGGGGCCAGGTTCTTAGTTGCAGCCTGTGCGGTTGTTTTACAGCTCAGAAGAAAAGGGGCCAAGCAAGAGAAAGGCGGTCCCACAGATCAAGGGCTTCCAAACTTTTTCGGGCTGGGGAACCTGTCTCGAACCCCTGACCGAGAGGCAAAGCTCTAGTGCCAGAACATCTGTATTCAAGGTTTTTGGCTTTGAGGGGCTTTTGTTTTTCGCCCTTAGTCTCTAATGGAGCCCCATCGAGTTCTTGCGAAACCCTGGAATTCCAGGGAACAGCGTTTTAAAAATCCCGCATACGTCACCAATCCATTCCTCGTCTTTTTCCAACCTAAAGTACTTGCTACAGTGATCTGCAAATGCAGGAATACGGATGAAATCCAGGTTTCTGCTGCTGTGCGGTCCATCCCACTCAGCAACTGCCTCCTAACATCTGGAGCTGTGGAACAAACGGACTCATAGCGACTACGGCTGCTTCTAGCGGGAATGGACACCGCTCAACAGAGTTGGACATCAGTAATACTGCGATAGTAATGATGCGACTTGCTTTTCCAAGGCGCTCCCTTGTGTTCCAGCCACTTCCTACACGGTTCGGTACTGCCGATTCCTGACACCGGCCACCCTTGTAGCTCTGTCTGTAGTAAACAACAGCCTTCTCCTGGCTTGTCCGTACAGCCACCGCGCTCAATCCTTCTAAACACGCTTACTACGGTTTCTGTGCCTTCCTGCGTCACCTTCTGCGCACCCTAAGCACAGCTGTTTAATACCCGAGGGGAAAAGACTTTCTGCCTATCTTTCTTTCTGAGTACCGTAATATTATTCCGAAGCAAGAGGGAAGTCTGCACATGCTCAGGGACTCCCTCGCGGTTCCACGCGTGCTGGGACTGTAGAGGGACGTTTTACGGCGTGGGACAGCGGCGCTCCGCTCCCCGACGGAGCCCTCCTGCCCCGGCTGGAAGACCCTGGATGACTGTTTCTGATCGGGTCAGTCCGGACTCCGCGCCTCGGGGAAACC